ATCTATTAAAGTGTCAATTTGCAAATTATATGAATTAACAGTTTTGTGTATTTTTTTTATTAGTCTGAGCAACTGGGGTAACAGTTTTGGGATCTTGGCTATTTTTAGGAGGTGTTTTAGAACACGTTATGATTTTATGTCCAAAAAAGCACTTACATCCGTTACTTTTGTTTTACACGATTTAGATTTAAGATCTACACTTTTATAATTATAACATCTTGATCCACCATTATATCATGTACCCTTACTAGGTATAACACAGGCTTTATTGTGTGTGTTGGTACTTGAATAACCCTTAGGCTTTGTATCTGGAGCATGAATTTTCTCATAAATTTTTAATTTCTCTTTAAATTCAGAAATAGTTTTAAGACTGATATAGAAATATAAGACCGACATAGATTCTGTTGCTACTTGGATCAGGTATCCCATTAATTACATAATCAAGAATGGATGAATCATCAATAGAAAAACGACTGGCTATTTTTCGCACTGCAAAATACTCAAAGGGATTTATTTGGTTTTAAATTTTGTATTTGTAACAAATTATGAGTTCATGCACTATTTATTTTAAAATGTAATTCAGATAAAAGATTTTCTTTTAATTTGTTCCATGATATAAAACCTCTCAGTGAATAAATATGTTAGCAGAATCAGTAAGCCATTTTTTAGTAAACACAATCTTTTGTTATTCAGATAACTGAGATAATTTAAAAGATTCTTCTAGATCACAAATAAGTGATTCAACTGCTTAAGTGAAAATTATTATTCAGATAACTGAGATAATTTAAAAGATTCTTCTAGATCACAAATAAGTAATTCAACTGGATATGCATTAGTTCATTAAGTTCCGAAATAATTTCTAACATGTCACGAAAATGTAGTGAAATATTAGTAAACATCATAATATTTTGATCTACTAGATTATTTACGACAGATGATTCTGACTTAACAGAATTAACATTGCCATCATTATCAGAATCATAAACACTTCTGTTTTTGGATAACTCATTGTCCGCAAGTTTGAAGACTTTTTCAATATTAAATCACTGTTTTTATCAGCATTTGGCTCATAATTAAGATGCAAAAAATTACACATAGAAATTAAATTGCTTGCAGATGATGTCAGAAGTAGTTTTTATTTTGTTTGAACTACAATGAAATCAGATGAAAACTAGAAATGTTATGCAATCTAGATGTATTTTTTCCTATCAGCTACAGTTCCAAATACAATTTGAAGGAAAAGTTTAATAGATTTTGCGGAAACAGTTCTGAAGGATACAGAAATTCTACGAATGGAATGAAGTGAGTAATTTTGATAAACGATACAGCAATCCAGTATTCTTACAAGTAACAATGTGAAAACTAATCATTCGAAACAGACTTACTGCATGAAATTTATTCCAACATCATGATCATTGCGTCCAAAAAAAATTGTTTTGTGTAATTTGTTGAAATCTGCAAGTCTTCATTTTTAGAAGATTGTTAACTTAAAAAAAAAAAAAAAAAAAAAATGCTTAGTACATTTTAAATAATTTTAATTGAATAGCCATCAATGAGAATCAATGATTTTTTGGCTGAGATTTTCACGGTCCATTGTCTTTGTGTGTGCTAGACTGAAATCGACTTGCTGGAATTATAAAATGTATATTTACCTCAAAAGAATAAAGCTTTGTAAAACATTTGTTTTAAAAAATAAAGATAACTAGGATTAAAATGAAAAATTGCTACTTCACCAATGAGTATGAACCAGAAAGAAATGATAATCTTACATTGATGAAATTAACAAGGCATACTTTGATTATCATTAAATACTGGATAATTTAATCAACCAGTACAATAATTTCATGTTTTTCTGTTTAATCTTTGCCATGGTAAAAGTACGTATTGCGAGAAATTTGGTTATTGTCCTGTGAAAGATGGTTTTTTAGCTTTTGCCTTATTTGATTATAGCAAAACACTCGAGGGCTATTTGCCTAAGAGAAGGGATGCTCTTTGTGGAGGACTTTCTAAGAGAAATTGGCTCGTATATATATTACACTTGGGGAAATCCATGAAAACACCTATGCAATGACACAGGATTTGAAGGATTTGAACAGGATTTTTGACAGGATTTGAACCCTAGATTGAACTACCAGTGTTCAGCGGCTTTACTGCTTGGCTGTAGGTGGGCTATCCCATGAGTGAATAAATTTCTTAGAGTGAGACTAGTCATAATTGTATTGCATAGACATAAATATAATTTCAGAAAGCTATATAATATTTTATTTTATGTTAATTTAAGTAGTCTCTTTGAAAACACACTGCTTCTGCCGTTCATTTTGTGGCTTATATGTATTCATTTCTTTTGATAATCATTTGTTTTACTTATAAATCTAAAAGTAAATGGCTGAGAAAGTTGCGTATAAAATTAAACCTGATTTATTCATGCTAACATGTAAACACCTTATTGAAAAAGTGTTAATATTTAAAATGACTAGATTTGAAGTTTCTGCTGTAGTCACATAAATATGAATATCATTGCAAACAAAGAAATTAGTTTTTTACTGCTGTAACATTTTAAGTTAGACTGACACTCAGAAAATATTATGTAATATATATATATATATATATATATATACACTCATGTCCATAAATTAAGGATAATTTGGAGTCACACGGAAATCAAACTCTAAAATAAATATATCACCTGTAAAATCACTACACACATCTTCAAGAATTATATGCAAATTTCAGGAAGTAACCAGATGACACCGATGGTACGTCACAATGACGAGAGTGTAAGAGAGTGATATATAAGGAATACAGGCAAAGAAGTAAAATTGTTCGCAGGCACTTTATAAACATTTCAGTGCAATAACCGAATAGTTATGACACAAAGGACACATTTGGATGGTTTTTTAAGTGGTAGAATTATCGGCCATCTGGAATGTGGGCGTACCCAACTGGAAGTGTCAGACGAACTTGGAATTGCCCAGAGTGTCATCTCCAGGCTTTGGCAACGATTCCAAGATGATGGTAATGTGAGTAGACGTTACAGCACAGGTCGCCCCAAAGTTACAACGCCGAATGAAGACCGCTATTTGGCAGTTACTGCCAAAAGGAACAGGCAGAGCACAGCCTCAGACCTGTCTCGTCAGCTCTCTTCAGCCATTGGTATGACAATTTCAAGATAGACCGTGTACAGACGCTTAGGGCAGATTGGTCTATATGCTTGTAAACCTGTCAGATGCATTCCATTTACTGCAACTCACTGTCGCCTGCGGTTAGCCTGGAGTAGAGAGCATGCATTGTGGACACCGCAACAGTGGGCTTGTGTGATGTTTTCCGACGAGTCCAGGTTTAGCTTGCAGTCTGATTCTCGCCGGACTTTCATATGGAGAGCTCCAGGTATTCGTTACCACCAAGAAAGCATCATTGAACGACACCGTTACGGTGGTGCAGGAGTGCTCGTTTGGGGTGGAATTATTCTGGGTTCCAGAACTGACCTTCATGTTCAAATTGGAATCATGACAAGCCATATCTATCGGGACGTCATTCTGGAACAACATGTACGTTTGTTTCGGGGTGCCATGGGCACACAATTTGTTTTATGGATGACAACGTCCAGTCCTCACCGTGCAAATATCGTAAGCGAATGCCTTCAATCGGAGGATATCACCCGTATGGACTGGCTAGCATTCTCACCGGACTTGAATCCAGTAGAGCACGTGTGGAACATGCTTAGCTGACGAGTTGCAGCCCGCAACCTCCTCCTACATGTCTACCAAAACTTCGGAGAGCATTGCTTTATGAGTGGTGTAATATCCCCCAAGATCAGATCGATAATTTGATACTCAGCATGCCTAGGCGTGTACGGACTGTATTGCATTGTCTGGGAGACATACAATGTATTACCAAGCATACCAACCATGTAATATTGGTTTTTTGTAAATAGGTTTTTTTTTTTTTTGGTAATTTGCTCCAGGGAGAAAAAAAATCGCTAATTTTTTTTAATAATATCAAACATATAGCATCTTTTTTTGCTCTTTATCTTTTGTTTAATAAGCTTTACAAATAAGTCAAATTTGTTTTGCTTCTAACTCTTCCTTTGCCTGATTTTGCATTATCCTTAATTTATGGACATGAGTGTATATTAAAATTAAAATGCTGCTGTAATATTATTATTTATGCTGTATACTTAAAATTAAAAAGCAACAACTAAGTTCCTTTTCAAGGAAGCAGAATGTATTAATTCTTGGAAAAGCATTTGGCACTTACTGGTTATACACATTCCCTCATCAAAAAGTCACAAAAGTATTCACCAGTATGTCACCAAAATAATTATGTGGAAATCCATTGTTTCAACCAAAAAGTATTCACATGGCAATCCAGGTATGGCATATAACACATGTGTGTTTTGGCCAGTGTGCAATACCATTGTTGTACAAGTTTGTGCATTTCTCTGATATTTTTTAAATGAAAACAGATCACACTAAAATGGAGGAAAAACAGTGAAAAAAAAAAGGGGGTTTTATTACTAATGTTTCTTGCTTTTTAAATTTCATTGATTAATTGCTGTTGTGTGGAATTCTTAGTGTATTGCCCTTTTGAAAATCAACGTTGCCTTTCATGCATTAGCTTAAAGGATATTTAGTTACCAGTGAGTACTCATATTCTTTAAAAGGTGCCAATGACTTTTTTACTTTTCTATGCGTTGGGGGGGGATTCCGTTTCTTTGTCTTCTATATGTGTGATTCAGAACTAAACAGCTTCTTTCTAAAATTTGAAAACTGGATATTGGTTCTTTCCCCAACAGGAAGCAATTGTAAACTAGCACAAAAGAATTAAATTTTTTCTTGCCACTCTTTTAAAAGTGATAATTCTGAAGTATTTATTTCTTGTACTCATAGTGTCTATAACATGTAGATTACAATGTCTTACAATGCAAAGTACAGAAGAAAATAAAATCTGTAAGTGTCTTTTCAAACAATAATACAATAACCTGTTTTTAAAACTTTCAGCCATCTAGGCGCAGCAGTGCAATTGTAGGAGATACAACTGCAAGTCCTTCGTTTGCTAATGCTGATATGGCATTTGGTAAAAGAAATTGTGTGTCAGATAGTTTGGACCTTAACTACAAGCAAGGTTCACAGTATAGAAGTTCACCTTTCAATTTAATTATTTCTCCTTTGGCTTTGAACTTTGAGAGTACAGAAATGCTAGAGGTTTCAGCTAAAGAAAACTGTAATGAAGGTAACTTTTTTAATAAAAAATTATTAAAAATATTTAGTTTTGATATTAGAAATGCTTGAAGTGTTTACTTATTTTTTGTATTATTATGTTATGTTAGATACCCTGGCATTTATCATACATGCTGGATGATAAATACACAATCTCCAGAGTATTGCTATTCAGCATGACATAAATTCATGAGTTTATCTTCAAAATTTCTGCTGTTTAGCTTGAGTTAAATGAGCAAATTAATGACTTAAAAGTGTTAAACTTGTTTCTTAATAATATTTATTTTATTTTAATTATATATCCCATTGATGTAACTTAAAATACACTTCATATTAGATATTTTTGAATTTTGGTGAAAATTTGTAGCATTAGTATAAATCATTAGGTGGTCAACTTCTGCACATACAGTGATTTTCATTACAGCATTTAGTTTGTTAAGCTATAATAAATTAAAGCTTAACAAACTAAATGATTTAAAAACATGAAACATGTTTCTTAATAATATGTATTTTATTTTAAAATAATGTATCTAACTGATATAATTTAAAATGTATAATATTTTTTAACATTTGTAACATTACGGTAAATCAGCAGGCAGCTAACTTCCGCAAGTACCATGATGAATTTAAAATGTGTACTGAATTTTGGATTGCACAGTATATTAAATCAGTTCTGATGAATATACTGTAAAAAAATATTCATTGTGTCTATATTAATTATGTCAATATACAGTATGTCAGGGTTCATACGGTCCTTAAGAGTCCTTAAAAGTCCTTAGGTTTTTTTTGGAATCGATTTTTGGTCCTTAAAAGTCCTTATTTTTGTATAAATAAGGTATTATTATTTGATATAAATTAGCCAGAATGTTTGCAAAGGCTCAATTAAAAAGATGCACAAATATTTGAGTATTGTTGCTACTAAATGTAGATGTTTTACAGCTTTTAATTTGTAGTTACCGTAATATCATTAAAAAATTTTTTAAACAAATATTTTTTTTAATAAATTTAAGTGTGGCCATATAAATCTATATTTACTAACTATCTAATTAATTACTTGTAACTGACTAATTTAATTATTTGTAACTAACTGGCCACCCTTAAATGTTATCTCTGCATATTAAAGTGAGTTATTGCCTTTCATTAATCTTTACTATGGTCTCAAGATGCAGTACTAAAATGTAAAAAATAATGTAAAACGTAATTCTTTGAATCTAGTAAGAATTAATATAAACTTAATTCTTTGCATCCTAAAATAATACAAAACTACTTACACCTCTGGTTCTTTAGTAGCTTCTTGCAACCTTAAAATATATTAACTGAGTTACAAGTTAATATATTTTAACTAATAAACTCTACACGAAGGTACGACACTAAGTGCGTCAAACAGGCAGAGCACAACTAACTTTCAAAACTTGCCAACCGTGCCTACATCAGGCTTTCAGGTTTGTTCTGATCAGCAGGCCTCTCTTTAGGCAAGCAGCAGTGGTGGCAACAGCCAGTCTTCTGTAACGAATCATGCTGATTATGATTTTACTTCTCATTTTAATCTATGCCATTTGACATAAAAACTGCTTGCTATTTACTAAACCTCTAAACTGAGCAACTACGTGACAAAATAAGACATAAGAGAAAAAATCAGCATAAAGCTAGATTAGTAAAATGTAAAGGAAATGTCACTAATCTTTTTAAAAATATGTCCAACTGTTATAAGGGTAAAATATTTAGTACTACCTAATGAATTTTATAAAGTTGATTTTATTCTCAAATTTGTTTATAATTATGTTTAATAATAATGACTACTTGTAGATCTATTTTATTCTTAGGATGGTATCACTAAAGTAAAGTTTAAGCATATCTGATTCTTTAATTGAGTTTATTCAATTCTCATTTCTTAATGGGTTCTTAACTTTTTTTCATTAATGGTCCTTAAAATTCCTTAAAAGTACTTAATTTCCATGTGCAGAAATATGTACCAACCCTGTATGTCCATAAAAGTCCTTTATTTTCACGATTTTTGGCTATAGGAATGTGCAGCGAAATCTTAGATTGCGAGTGACTGGGTTTGTGTTTTACAACACAAACAAAATTTTACATGACTGATGAGTGAGCACTTTCTTGTAATATGAACAGAATGCTTTGTGTGTAGAATATCTTGTGATTACAACTGAGCCTGTGGTTCTTGTTTGTCTTGCTGTATGATTGTGGGTAACTATTGCCACACTGATCAGTGGCCAGTAATGCTAGCTGCCATATTGTGAGGCATGGGTTTGGATCAGAGAATACATGGGTGCTTTTAAGTGTATAATACCTGTGTGACTTGAAGTACTTAAAATGCTGGTCCTCTCGAGTGGTTTACCTGTAGGGAGAGGGGTGGGAGATCCATTCCTTGGGATATACTCCATTAAAATTGAGACAGAACTGTACTATTAGTGCAGTGGGACTATATCTGGGAGAACATTTAGTGAAGTTCTTGTGTACTGCCCACTTCTTAATGTCCTATGAATTATTGCATTTTGTATTCAGTCTCAGTGTGAATTACTTGTATAGTCAGTATTTATGTACGTGCTAATGTACACTAATCGAATCAACGAATGGCACTGCCTATGCATCTAACTATGAATCTAACGACGTATATGTAAATGCCACATCTAAATTTCTACAAGCGATAGTTCAGTTATAATTCTATGATCAAATACTCAATCTAGTTTTAAAAGAATTTAATAAAACACTAAACAAATTAATCTAATCTAGAATCGAATCTAATGTTACATCTCATGAGCAGCGCTCAAACTGTGTCATAACAAATTGAAAGTCAAGTTCTCACTGTTGCCATTCCGAGGCAGAGAAAAGTTTATTTCTAATCAAACCGGAACATCGGCAGAGTGTAAGTTTCTAGTCAAACTGGAGCATCCTAGCCCCCGTTGGACGATTGTCCAACATCATTTGGAAATGAGAGTGTACTGATATTGCAGACGGCTCGACGAAAGATTCCATCTGAAGTTCTGACGTCTATGACTCGTACTACTCCATTTGGACCAGGAAAGGTCTCTTCAATGCGAGCTAGTGTCCACTTCATGGGTGTGTTGTTTTTATCCTTTAACAAGACTAGTTGTCCTGCCTTGAGATTGGATTTCACTTGATTCCATTTTGAACGGTTCTGCAAATGATTAAGATATTCCAAGCTCCAGCAGTTCCAGAAATGAGCTCTAAGTTTTTGAATTAAGGTCCATCTAGAAGACAAGGTCAAAGAATCTACAGAATCATTCGGTTCTGTTATTGACAAAAGTGGAGCTCCTATTAGGAAATGACCTGGAGTCAAAGGCTGAAGATCTGTTGGATCAGCTGAAATAGGTAACAGAGGTCGAGAGTTCAAGCAAGCTTCTATTTGTGTAATTAATGTATACAGCTCTTCAAAGCTCAAAATTGTCATTTTCGGGACCTTTGTCAAAATTCTCTTCATTGATTTTGTATTAGCCTCCCATAATCCGCCAAAATGTGGGAAAGAATAAAGAATAAATCTCCATGTCCTTCTTCGGTATGACACTTCTTCGGTAAAGCGCTGATAAGGATCCGATCTGCAAATTCTAATGAGTTTATCAAGAACATTCTTCGTTCCCGTGAAGTTCGTAGCATTATCATTCCAAACAATGGATGGTTTGGATCGTCTGGCAATAAACCTTCTAAGACATGTTAGAAATGCTTCGGTAAACAAATCCGGTACCTTCTAGATGAATAGCCTTTGTACTAAAGCAAATAAATATCGCAATGTATGTTTTTAAAGTAACTCTAGATTTTTTCAAATTAGGCTTGGTGATAACTGGACCTGCAAAGTCCAGTCCTATTTTTTCGATTGGTCTAGTTATTACAACTCTATCTCTAGGTAAGTCTCCCATCATTTGGTTTATGGTTTAATTCCTTGTCCGAAAGCACGTCATGCATTTTCTTATAACGCGTCTAACTCTATCTTGTTCGGAAGGTATCCAATATAATTGTCTAATAAGAGAAAGTGTTTGTTGAATGCCTGAATGAAGAGATTTTTTTATGATAATAATTTATGAGTAATTCAGTGAAATGATGTCTTATGGGTAAAAGAAGTTAATGTTTCTGGTCTTCTGAAATATTGGAGAAATGTAGTCTCCCACCAACTCGTAAAAGTTTATCTTCATCAAGAAATACATTTAAGGATAAAACCTTACTATTAATTGGAACTGATCGTTTCGACTGCAAGCACTTAATTTCAGGTTGAAATTCAGAATGTTGCGCACATTTGACTAGCACCTTTGTTGCATTCTGTAATTCATAAGCACTCAAAAATCTTTTCTTAATGGTGGATTGGTTCTACAGTTGTTCGCAAACCTTAAACACTACACAGTAGTTCTAATCAATTTGTTAAATGACGAATACTTTTTAATGAATTCGTTCTCAATGGAATTTCCACCTGTGACTGTTGAGTTCACTTCAGTTCCCCTTCGAAGTTCAAGCTCTTCATTATATTTGAAATCTCTTACTGATTCTGCAAGTTTAGGCCACAAATCGATGCTCTGTAATAGCCACTTAGGTCTATGCCACCACATGTCACTATTTCGTAGTTTAGACAATGTTATTCCTTTTGTGGAATTTGTCTTCGTTCCTCTGGTCAGCATATCAGCCGGATTTTCATCTCCAGGGCAATAATTTTAGGACTTGGGTGATGTTTTCTCTCGTATTTCCATTACTCGATGTATGGATGAATGGCTTTCCATTTATTTAAATCGTCCCTGGGCGCTTTATCCGATGTAACGTAACAGAAGAGTCTGACCAAAAATATACATTTATCTGGAGTCTTTTCTCTAACTGTTCTTTCACATTGGAGGCTAATCTTGCTCCGATGAGCGCCCCCCATCAGCTCTAATCTTGGAAGGGATAGCTTCTTCAGTGGAGCTACTCTGGTTTTAGAAATTACAAAACTACTTCTTATTACACTGTCTGTCGTGACGTATCGCAGATGTATCACAGCTCGATATGCCTTCTGAC